TTCTTTTGTCAAATCCAGAATAGGTTGAAGAACTGAGGAGATTCTGAGGTGGAGGGCAGCAGGAGCCTCTTCAGGAGGATGGGCAGTGGGATAGTGGCCACTGTAGGCAGATATATATTCCCAGCCGGGGAAGTTGGGGTGCTGAGGGGTGTGTGGCCTTGCAGGACTGAGCCATTCTGTTCTACAGAGCAAGTCCCTGAGAGATGGGGGAATGTGAAGGTGAGAAAGGTGAACTTACTCTTCAAATTTCTTCAGGGAGGCAGGCATTGGGGTTGGGATTCAAGTGCAGCCAAGAAAAACCTGTAGCCCAGAGAGGCCTGATGAGTAAGGGAGGTCAAGGAACTGACCTCAACCTCCAGCCCCACAGCCCATGCCATTTTCCATCCTACTCCCCACCTGCAGGGCGGCCCACCTCGAAGCCTCTGCACCCTGGCAGATTCCAACTTGGCTCCCCAACCTACCTCTGCTTCCTGTACTTGTATAATCTGGGCTCTGCCTTCTCTCTTGACATCAGGTTTTGGGGCTCAGGAAGCTTAACACCAATGTAGAGAATCATAATCACTCACTTTCAGAACCCTTTTGCCTACCTACAAATTGATTGGCACTTTTGCCTGGACTCACTGTGTCTGGAGATCAGTTTTCTGCAAAGCTGGGCTGAGCTTTGCAGTGCTGGGCTAGGGAAGTGGTTAAATGAGCCAGCAGCTGTCTTGGGGTGGCTCTTCCCCACATGAGATCTTCTTTGAGGTCTAGTAACTGAGTTGCTATTTCTAGGTAACAGCCAGGACCTGGTTGTTCCTGCTGTCCACTCATGGGGCCTCGCCAGATCCCCAAGAGGCTTACAGAGCATGAGGACTCCCAGTCTCACAGCTGCCAGCCCCACTCTGGGGCTGCCCAGCCTGCATGTTCATCCTGGGAGGGAGGAAGCCAAAGGTATCCCAGGATGTCCCCCTTCTGCAGCTGCTGCAGCAGCCTGACATTTTCTGTCCTTGGATTCTCAGGGCTTTGTGAAGCAGGAAGAGTGGTTTTATAATTTGTGTTGAATTAATGCTGCCTGTCAGAGTTTGTCATGGAAGGGACTGTTGTTTGACCCTATTATGAAATTTCAGAAGCCTAGCCAGGTACCAGTTATTTTTTTTTTCTCTTCCTAAGCATAAGAGGGAGGAAGGTAAACTTTATTTTAGGAAGAACCACAGCTGTTTATTTAGAAATGACTGCTGCTTACTAGTCTCATTTTCTGCTTAACTTTCACTTCTATTTGATGTACTCTTCTGTGTCGGCAAAAGGGAGATTAGCCATTTACCTGGGACTTGGTTTCCCAGACTATAAAGCTGTCTCTCCACCTGCCTGTGTGCATCCCTGTGGCTAAGACATTACAGTCCAGGGCCCTGGGGCATCTGTTACCCAGAGGTTGGTCAGTGCAATCTCCATCAGGCCCAGCATTGGACACTAAGGGGTCGGATGGGGCTGGCCTCTGGCAAGCCTGGAGCTAGCTCTTACTGGGGTGGAGCTCCCTTCTCCCCCCATGCCGCCCACATGGGGCAACCCCCACCTGGCATTTCCTGTGTTGGCAGGAGTGCCAAGGGACCAGGTGGTCCCTGAGACTGTCACTTTTGTGAGTGTGCTTTCTGGAGAGAGGATCAGGGGCGTCAGGCTCCAGAGGCAAATGGACAGTTTTTTAAGCCTGGGCTTCTCTGGCTTGTGTTAATGCTTTTGTTTTCGCTTCCTCCCCTGTTCTGATTTTGAACAAGAAAGCCTGCCCTGTGATTAGGTTAATCTCGTGGTAGTTATACCTCCCTGGAAAATGTTGTATACCAAAAAGTACAGAGCTGAGCTGCTGGAACACACACAAATTTGGATTCATGGCTTACAGGGTACAGAATGGTGGCTTCCATGTGGGTGGGCAGATACACTGGTTATGTTTTTTGTTGTTGTTGTTGTTGTTTAAATACTAGGGATTGAACCCAGGGCTTTGAGCTTGCTCAGTCCTTTTTAAATCTTTATTTTGAGATTGGGTCTTGCTAAATTGGCTGGATTGGCCCCAAACTTGCTATCCTGCCTTGTCCTCCCAACTAGCTGGGATTATCAGTGTCTTTTCATGGCAGTATTAAGTCCAGAGTTTCCAGCCCCTGGGTCTGCTGAGCTGATCCTCTGATTTCTGCCAGTACCACCATACTCCTCGTAGCTGGCCATGGCCTGTCATGGTTGCTGTACCTCTGTAGCTGGTATCAGTGCCACTGGTCCTTGTCTGTCCCCCGGCCCTGTCCAGGCTGAGCATGGTCCATGGAAGCCTATCTGCAGTTAACTATTTTCTGGATCTTTCTCCTCCTTGTGCCTGGAGGATTTGATGTCTGATCCTGATTTTCCTCCAACATTTTCATACTCCAGTCAGTTTGAAGGGAGTTCTCTGTTTGAGTTCTTATATCCTGCTTCTTCTAAGAATAAACATTCTCATTATTTGATTAATTGGGGAAGAGGCAGAGTAAAAATCAATAGTGATGAAAATCATTGTTCATGAAGACAAAAGGCCCAGAGTTATCCTGGAACCAAGCAGGATGAGGGCTTTTGTTGAGAGATTTCGGCTGCATACAGGCAAGGACGCCCACTTGGGAATGTGCCTGGCTGGTATCTACCTTCCCTGCATGTGCCCCCAGTCAGCAACTTGGAACTGCACCTGTGAAGTGGGAGCTCCACCTACTATGTAGCCTCAAGGACAGGTGGTTCTAAGTGCTGCAAAGCCTCTGAGGGCAGAGCTGTAGTCCCTGGCTCCCCCACTAGCTCCCTATGCAGGTCTGAGGAGCTGGCACATGTGAACTGCAGAAACAAACTTTTTTTTGAGAGAGAGAGTCTCATTATGTAGCCCGGGCTGGCCTCAAACTTGCAGCATTCCTCCTGGTTCAGCCTCCCAAATGCTGGGATTATAGTGTGCACCACCATGCCCAGGCAGAAACAAACTATTTTTGTCAGAATCAGGAGATCACATTGTTTTGTGCTCAGCAATGAAGAAGGGCTGAGAGAAGGCCCAGCCCACTGTCCTGAAGCCTGGAGGCTACAGCCAGCCCATCCTCCAAGGAGGGTCAGCAGGGAGGCTCCTAGCCAGCAGGGAGCCCAGGTGGCAATGGAAGGGCCACATTGGTGTCACTACCCTCGTGCCTGCACAGCTCAGCAGGATCCAGAGTCTTGTTGTGTGGGTACCGCTGGAAGCAGTGAGCAAAGGACACTGAGTGTTGAGCACTGACACACTTTCCCAAAGTGGATCTGGCTTTTAGAGCAGGTTATTCACAACAGTGGAATAATGTTTGTATTTTTTTTTTGTACCGGGGATCAAACTCAGGACCTTGCGCTTTCGAGGCAGGTGGCAGCACTGCTGAGCTGAATCCCTGGCCCTGTATTTTAAGTAACTTGTAATTTCATATCTTACAGGCTTATTCCTTTCATTATATCCATCAAATCCAAAAAGAATTGTTACGTGCTTTTGGAAATGTGCCTTAATGTACGTGCTCTGTGTACATGTGCACCCATGTCTGTTTCTTAGGCACTGCTGACCCTGGATGAGACTTGGAAAGCGTCTGTGCTCTCCTTGTCTCCCTTCACCTTTCTCACACTGAGTGGGGTTGTACAACCAGCTAGGGCCACTTTGTCCCTAGCCATGCACAAAGTTCTGTCCCCAGGTACTGAAGAAGCAGCATGCTACCTGCTTCCCAAAGGGCATCTACAGCATTCTAAGGGATATGCTGCTTCTTGAAATGGAGTTATAACATTAGTACCTGCCAGGATTAATGCTGACATTGGGCTTATCCATCCTTCCTCTTGTTCAAAGGCTGAGCTGAGGGGTGATCTGGTGAGCCCACCCATGTGTAGCCACCCTAGCTGGGAGTTTCTTTTTGGTTGGGTTTTGAGCCTGCCTCCATCTGTGTATGAGTACACATGAGTATGTGCATGTGTGCACATGCACATTTGTTCACATGTGTGCACATGTATGAGTGTGCACATGTGCACAAAAGTGATAGGACTGTGTACATGAGTGTGTACTGCACATTGTACATTGTGAGCATGTTATGAGTGTGCATATGTGTGTACACAGTGGTGTGATGTGACTGCACCTGTACATGCCAGTGTACCCACAAGGAGGTATAGGTGCATGCACATGGGTGTGTACAGATGTGTGATGTGTGTGTGCCTGTTACTATACATGTGCGGATGTACCTGTGTGTCAGTGTATGTCACGGAGTGCAGATTTGGCCACAGGACAGGATTTACACTACTGGGAGTGGGTTGAGAATGTAGCTCAGTGGCAGAGCACTTGTTTAGAATGCACAAGATCCTGGGTTCAGTACTCTTACCACAAACAACAAATCAAAAACTCCCAGAGTAAATATTTCTAGTGAGTCTCAGCATCCTATGTCCCCCATCCTGTGGCCTCAGTTATTGCTTCAGGGAGATGGCTCTTCTGGCCGCCTGTGTGGGTTTTCCATCCTGGTTTTCTGTGTTCTCAAAGTGTTCTGCTCACAGAATGTGCTTCCCCGAGGAAACCCACGCCCCTCACCATTTGGTTCCCTCACCATCCTACAACGTGTTTCCCTGCTTCCATGCTGGCTTTAGGAGGCCCAGAAGGGCTCAAGGCAGAACTCATCTCAGGGCAGAAAGAAAACTCTGTGCTTCTTCTAATGGACATTTATCCATGCATCTGCAGAATCCTGGAGCTGCCTGGTGCCTGTCTTGGGACAGGTGCCATTTGTCACTAACCACATGCTCTTCACCACCAAGCAATTTGCTGATTCAATAATATTATTTGTCGTGTTGTATTTCACAACTGTAGCCTCTGGGAAGTGGGCTTTGTATCTTGGGATGACCTATTTGAACAGTCAGCCTCAATGCTCATTAGCTGAGTGCTTGGCACAAAAAAGAAGGGTCCTTCTGTGTCCCACCCTTGGGATGACAGTTTGTGCACCCATGTGGGCTATGCATCCACTTACTCCATGTGTTCTCTATTTCTCTGACAGGTTGGTGGTTGGGGCCAGCTGTATCCTTTGCTAGTGTGTAGATAACTGTCCTGTGACATGGACTACTGTTCTCTAGAGTCCTTCCTGACTTCGCTCACTTCCTTGGATTAGGCTTACTGGGCTTTTGGGGGCTGAGGGCCTGTGCCCAGGGGACAGTTTGATGCTGACCTCTGTGATCAGGGCTTCCTGGAAGGTCTTCCTGAGCCACACACTGAGACAGCCAGCCAGTTGGGGCAGCTGGACACGGCCGTGAAGCAGTCAAGTGATCTCTCTTGAGAGCTGTTGGCTCCTGTCTCATTCCTTCAGAAGGAGCAGTCAAACCAGCCGGGTTAAGAGAGGAGCCCCAGGAGGTCCAGGGTCAGGATAGAGGATATCTGAGGGAAGTTGAAAGCCCTGGAGCCCCCATCCCCTGAGAGCACAGGTCTCAGGCAGCAGTTTTGTCTTCTACCCATGGGGCTTTTATCCCCCTGGCCCAGCTAGTCGTTGTGCTCTGACTCAACCAAGATGCAGGTGCAGCCTTGGAGGCCGAGATTAAACTCCAGAGCTGGGGCGAGAGCACTGTAGAGGCACTGGCCAGCCTGGTCCACGATGGTGTTGAGAGGACTTAAAGCTTGAGCTGGGAGAGCTCCCAGTCCCCAGGCTGTGCATATGAGACCTGGGGTAAGGGAGACTTGCAGCTCATATCAGGAGTCTCTGCTGGGGCTGACCAGATCGGTGGGGGTGGGGGCAGCTGGAGTGAGGCCCTGTGGGTCTTGGTTCTTTGCTTCCAAAGTCATGATTTGTGAGTATTCCTTAGCCCATCACCTGCAGATATAGCCCTGGAGTGTGCTGGGTTCCTCACAGGGATCGGCCTGGACACCACCGTCATGATGCGCAGCATCCCCCTCCGAGGCTTTGACCAGGTAGGGCCAGTGGCTCCACTTCCCACCCTGTTGTACTGCTCTCCCAGAGAGCTCCCTTCCACCCACCTGTCACCCAGGCAGGTGCAGGTGTGGCTGGAAAGGCAATCTCATGCCTCAGAAGCAGGCTCTTGAGTTGGAGGAGGACATTGTTCAGCAAATATGAAAATGCATTTGTGGGAGCCTAAAAGAAAGGCTGCTGAGTGGAGTGTGCACACAGCTGCACACATGTGCTCCTACCAGGCTACAGCGACATCTGTGGCATGCCACCCCCGGCCCAGAGACTGGTGGACCGGTAATACCTTCTGGTTGTCCCATTAGTATGTGGCATGTGTCCCTGGAGCACTGTCCTCCACCTCAGAGACTCCCAGCTCCCTCCTTGCTGAGCCCCTCTTGGGTCCCAGTAGAGATGCTACCTCACTAAGCCCAGCTCCAGGCAGGGAGGAGCAGGTGAGAGACTGGCCAGGCCCTGGATGACCTTCACAGGACAAGGCAGTCCATCCACCCATCATAGGCTAAAATGAGACATGCACAAGCCAGAGTGAGCATGCAGTTCTTGTGCATCATATATATCCCTGGCACATGCAGGAGCCCTCAGCACAGCCTGGGAAGTTACTGCAGGCTCATTCACCTTGCAGGGCCCATCCTGCCCTGGGAGAAGCTATGGGTTCTGGGCATTTGTGACTGTCACGTGGCTAGAGTTCAGAGGCACTGCCTTGTGTGTCTGAGCAGGTGCATGGGTGTGCATCTGTCCTCATCCTCATCTTGGGAGCCCATGTGAACTACAGGATAAGCTCCTGCCATCGAAGTGATGGAGATTTTTTTGTAACTAAAAACTCTTCAAGGAAGTCAGCCATTAAAATCTAAAAGTCTGGGGATGTCATTGTCAAGATGTTAAACAGTCCATATTCCCTGCCAAAGAAGATCCATCATGGTCTACACAGTCATGTTTCTGGGTTGTAGTTGTACCTCAGCTCACAGAGGCCTAGCTGGGACACATCTGAAGGTGGAAGGGGTCAGGCCTGCTGTCTCTAGACCCCAGTTCTCTACCACCCCACTCACTGCACACTGCTCTAACTTGCAGACATATCTCACCATCCTGTGCAATCATATGTGGCTTTATTCTAAAGCTGTGACACATAGCCGTCAGTTACCTTGGGGTATGCACCCCCAGTCCCTGTAGTAGTACAAATTGTCTAGGAAGCCTCTGAGCCCCCTTCTGTGGGGAGGATGTGCAGCAGGGTGCAGATAAAGCTGAAGCTTGAGAGGCAAAGAGGCCTACAGGGATGAGGGTTGTGCTCAGGGAGGAGGCTCTGTGACATGAGCTGGAGCTCCAAAAAGACACATCATCCTGGCAGACAGGCCAGGTGACAGTGCACCTCAGCATGCCTTGTAGTTCCCTTCAGAGCCCTGGATGTCTAAACCTTTTAGGATTCTGGAGGGTGGCAAGAGGAACAAGTAGCCAGCATGCCAGTTTCTCTGCTTGAGACAACCAGCACGTCATTCCTGATGTGCTGGGCTCCTCATACATGTGGTCCAGAACAAGCCAACTCAGCTGGGAAGGTGTCAAAGGATTTAAACCATGACTTTATTTCCTCCTAAGGAAGCATCTGTGGGCTCCTAGGGCAGTAAAGCTCAGCAGGTCCCAGGACCCGGAAGGAAGTTCCCCGCCTCCATCCCAGGCTCCTAGGGCAGAGAGGGTGAGTCGGTCCCAGCACCCGGAAGGAAGCTCCCCCTCCTCCATCCCAGGCTCCTAGGGCAGTGAAGCTCAGCCGGTCCTAGCACCCGGAAGTAAGCTCCCCACCTCCATCACAGGCTCCTAGGGCAGTGAAGCTGAGCTGGTCCCAGCACCCGGAAGGAAGCTCCCCGCCTCCATCCCAGGCTCCTAGGGCAGAGAGGGTGAGCCGGTCCCAGCACCCGGAAGGAAGCTCCCCGCCTCCA